GTTTGTAAACTATATATATATTTTGTTTTGTTTGTTTTTTTGGAAACAGGATCTCCCTATTGCCTAGGCTAGCCTTGAACTCATAGGTTTAAGGGGTCTTCCTGCTTACAATTTACCTTTTTTTCCCTTTTTTTTGGTGCTGGGAATGAAACCCAGGGGCTCATGCTTTCTGGGCAAGTGCTATTCCACTGAGCTAGATCCTCAACCCTTATAATTTATTTGTAATTAGCTGGGTATATGCAGTTTAGAATATTCTCCCTCTCTGTCTCTGTCTCTGTCTCTCTTCTTTTTTGTGGCGATCCTCCTGCTAGCCTCCCAAATGCTGTGATTACAGGCACACACCACCATGCCTGGCATCTAAAATACTTTTTTTTGGTACTGGGGATTGAACTTGGGACCTTGCGCTTGCAAGGCAGGTGGCAGAACCACTGAGCTAAATCCCCGGCCCCTAAAATACTTTAAAGCTAAGAAAATCACATTTCCTTTAAAATACTCTATAGTTCGGCTTTTCATTAAATCAGCCTTATCACTCCCTCCCTTTATATGTTTATGAGATTAAAGCATTCACTTTGATAAGTCAAGTCTAGGTGTGAGTTCATCAACAGCTTTGCCTAAGTTGTCTTATTTCCCCTCAGCCTCAGTTTCCTTATTATCTAGTTTACAGGATTCTTCTGGCTGACAGTGTATGATGAATGGTCAGAACTAAGAATGGTGTCAGATAGTAAATATTTAATAAATGCTGCCTCTTATGTAAAATTGGAAAGGTTTAGCACAATTCCAATTAAGTCAAATTTATGGCCAGTTATTCACAGATTAAGGAAGTAACTATAAATTAGGAAATATGCATAGTTTCAGATAAGAGAAAACAAGTATAGGGACATGTCCTTTGCTATGAAGAAAGCACTCATAACTGATTATTATACCCATGTCTTTGGCACATCCAGGTTTTTTTGTTTTGTTTTTGATGTTACTGATTTACCCAGGGCCAAGGGCTCATGCATGCTAGGCAAGTGCTTTACCACTGAGCTACATCCCTAGCCTCCTTTTAAAAACTTTTATTTTGAGACAGGGACTTACTTGCTAAGTTGCCCAAGCTGGCCTCAAACTTGCTATCCTCCTACCTCAGTCTCCCAAGTAGCCAGGGTTACAGATGTGTGCTGCTATCCCCAGCTCAGCACACCTAGTTTTGATCATTAAAGCCATAATCCTAATAATAGCAGTTAACATTCATTGTACATTTTATATTCAGTGCTATGTATGTATTATTTCTTAATGAGGAAATAATTAGGAAACTTTGGAGAAATTGCTGTCAGTATATAGGAGTTACTCCGTTTGTCTAAACTTACTTTTTGGGTGGGAGTACTGGGGATTAAGCCCAAGCCCTTCATACTGAGGTATATCCCCAGCCCTTTTTTATTTTAAACAGGGTCTTGCTAAGTTGCTAAATTGCCCAGGTCGGGCCAGAACTGGCAATTCTCGTCCCTCAGCCTCCCAGAGTTCTGGGTGCCCCACTGCACCCAGATTTAAGCTCACATACTACATAAGAGAGGTAGGATTCAAACCCTATCAGTGAAGACCATATCTTTTCTTAACAAAATAGACCAATATACTTAACTATTTTGAAAAAAAATTCATATCTACAGAAAATGAACAAGACTAGTAGGAGAAAGTCCTGTACACCCTTCATTGGGATTTAGCAGTTTTTACCAACTTGATGTATTTGCAGTATTTCTCCTTTTCTAATACTTATTATTTGTGTGTTTTTGCTGAACCATTTGTGAGTAAGTTGCAGGCCTCCAGATTCATTGATTTGTTTACTTGAGCATGGATCTGTTAAGAAAATGGACATTCTTCATCAGGACCATGGTTAAATTATCCAATTAAGCAGGTAGCATGGCTGCATACTCTGTTATCTAATATACAGACCATATTCCGATTTTACCAAAGGTCCCAAATTATTTATAGTAGTTTTTTTTTTCTTGGGTTCATGGTCCAGACCAGTATTTGGCTGTTATGTCCCTTTTAGGCTTTGTTTTTATCTTTTTGGTCTTTCATCAGATCATGCTTTTTTTTTTCCCCTCCTTTTTTGGTACTGGATCGAACCTAGTACCTCTTTGTGCATGCCAAGCAAGTACTCTACCACTGAGCTACATCTCCACATCTTTAAAAAAAGTTTTTTAAAAATTTTGAGATAGGGTCTCACTAGGTTGCCCAGGCTGGCCTTAAACTTGGGATCCTTCTGCCTCTGCCTCCCAGCAGCTGGGATTACAGGTTTGTACCACTACTCTTGGCCCAGACCATGCTTTTGACAGCCTGATTAATCTACCATGAGAAAATAAAAAGCCCTTGGCTGTGGAGGGAGGAAGAGTTCACCTCCATCCCTCACCTGTGTTCCTCAGGCACCCAGTTGCCACTCATTGTGTCAGTAGGACAGTGACTGTCATGACCAGACTGTTGGTTGGTGGCTATGTGTCACTGAGCTCTTTGGTTGAAAAACACTAGAAATGTAATTGACTTGTCATGGCTTTTCTGTGTGTTAAAGTTGGTAAATACATTTTATTTTCTGCCCCCATGTAGTCTCAAAGAAGATGGTGCAGGAACGCCCTATGACAAGGAATCAACAGCCATTATAAAGCTGAATAATACAACAGTTCTTTACTTAAAAGAGGTGACAAAGTTCCTGGCTCTCGTTTGCTTTGTCAGAGAGGAAAGCTTTGAAAGAAAAGGTAATTTTTTGTTGTGGTTTAAAGGAAGCCTTTCAATTCATACTGCCTTTGTTGCTGTTGAACGTGGGCGAGGGCTGCCCACTGTGGAAGTGAACGTTAGTCCCAGCTCACCTTGGCTGGCATACTGGAGGTGGGCCAGGGGTGGGCAGGCCTCAGGCCAGAGATCCTGTTGCCCCTAGTGGTGCAGCTGGTATTGCAAGGGTGGAAATAGAACCAGATGTCCCTCCCTGGGCCTTTGCTTCTTTCTGCATGTTGGGACATCCTTGCCAGGTTATCTCTGACCAGGAAAAGGACTCCACAGCCTGCATTGAAGGTGGTGGCCTCCTCCTTGGTCCACCCTGCTAGAAGGCCATAGGTGACTTGAGTGACCCTTTGTTCTCCCCAAGTAAAGGAGGGAACAGAACTCATACGACATTGAGGCTAGGTGGTATTTTCTATTTAGCCTTCAGGCACCCTTAAATCTTCAAAACACAAGGATCTGAAAAGACAAAGCATGAATATACTAAATATCTTTTTAGGACCAAAGTTGAGTTTATTATAAAATAACACCAATCTTTCTCCTTACTATCTAAACTGAGAAATACCAGCTTACTGATGTATAGAGGGAGTTTGTTAGTAAATAGGATATATTTTACCAATTTGTTGAGTACAAAAATTCCCTACAAAGTGGCAAGGATAACATTCACTGAAATAGCCTTTCCCCCTCTTATAAGCAATGCATGTTCATTATAAAATGCTTTGAAAATTTAGGAAAGTGTAAAGAACAAAATAAAACCACTTATTTTGCCTTAGAGCTAAAACTTATGTTAAATTTCTGAGCTTTTCTTCCACCTCCTTTTTCCTCTCTCTCCTCCCTTTTTTCCTTCCTTCCAACAAAACTGGGGGCATATTATTTAGGTAGTTTTATATCCTATTTTTTTCACTTATATTATGAAATTTTCCTAATTCATTGGCCATGAAAACAAAATTTAGATTTTGTTTCTTTTTATCACAAAAGTAATAGATTTACTTAGAAAATTTAGAAATAGCAAACATGTTTCTCACTCAGAAAACTACTTTTCTTTTTTTAGTGGTGCATTTGTTATTGGTTGATTTTTTGATAGCAGCCATTCTTTCTGGGGTGAGGTGGAATCTCAGTGTTGTTTTCATCTGCATCTCTCGAATGACAAGTGATGTTGAACATTTTTTCATATATTTATTTGATGCTTTTACTTCCTTATCTGAGAAATGTCTGTTCATTTCAGATGCCGATTTTTGAATTGGGTCTTTGAATTTGGGGGGGGGGTCTGATTTTTTTCAGTTCTTTTTTTTTTTTTTGGTAATGGGGATTGAACTCAGGTCCTTGCGCTTGCGCAGCAGGCAGCAAAACCACTGAGCTAAATCCCCGGCCCCTTTCAGTTCTTTATATAGTCTAGATAGTAGTCTTTTGTTTAAGGTACAGCTGCTAAAAATTTTTTCCCACATTGTAGGTTGTCTCTTAGCTCTGTTGGTGGTTTCTCTTGCAGTGCAGAAGCTTTTTAATAAGATGAGAACCCAGTTGTTGATTCTTTGTGCTGGTTCCCATGCTACTGAGGTTTTGTTCATAAAGTCTTTTCCTATGCCAATGTCTTCAAGAGTTCTACCTAACTTATCTTCCAGCAAGTTTAGTGTTTTGGTCTTAATATTTAGATCTTTAATCCACTTTGATCTTAGTTTAGTGCATGGTGATAGGTATGGGTCTAGTTTTAATCTTTGGTAGGTTGAAATCCAGTTTTTCCAACACCATTTATGAAAGAGGCTATCTTTCCTCCAATGAGGATGGTTGGCTCCTTTGTCAAAGATGAGGTGGCTGAGTATGTTTGGAGTTGTTTCTGCATTTTCTAATCTATTCCACTGATCCTTGGGTCTGTTTCTTTGTGAGTACCATGCTGTTTTTATCATAGTAGCTTTGTAGTATAGTTTCAAGTTGGGGATTGTGATACCCCTCTGTTGCCTAGAATTGTTTTTGCTATTCTAGGTCTCTTCTGGTTCCAAATGAATTTTTGTATTGTTTTCTCTAGTTCTGTGAAGTATATTGTTGGAATTTCAATCGGCATTGCATTAAATCTATATAGTAGTTTTGGAAGTATGGCCATTTTCACTATATTGGTTCTTCCTACCAGGAACAAGGGATGTCTTCCCATTTTCTTATATCCTTCTTGATCTCCTTTTTCAGAGTGCTGTAGTTTTCAGTGTAGAGGTCTTTTGCTTCCTTTGTTAGATTGATTCCTAGATATTTCCTTTTTTTGGATGCTATTGTAAAAGGAATTTTTTTCCCTAATTTCTCTCTTAGTGAGTCTGTTATTTGTGTACAAGAAGGCTATTGTTTTCTGAGTGTTGACCTTATATCCAGCTACTCTACTGAATCTGTCAATTAAGTCTAGAAGTCTTTTGGCCGAGTTTTTTGGGTCTTCTATGTAAAGTATCATATCATCAGCAAATAATGACAGTTTAACTTTCTCCTTTCCTATCTTTATTCCTTTTATTTCTTTCTCTTTTCTAATTGCTGTGGCTAATGTTTCCAGAACTATATTGAATAGGAGTGGTGATAGTGGGCATCCTTGTCTTGTTCCTGTTTTTAGTGTGAAAGTTTTCAGTTTTTGACCATTTAGTATGATGTTGGGTGTTGGTTTTTCATAGATAGCCTTAATCAGGTTGAGATAAAGACCTATACTGTAGGGTTTTTATCATGAATGGGTGTTGGATTTTGTCAAATGCCTTTTCTGTATCTATTGAGATGATCATATGGTTTTTGTCCTTGACTCTATTAATATAGTGTATTACATAATGTTATTGGTTTACGTATGTTGATACACTAAATATTTACGTGCATCCCTGGTTGTTTGCTCAGGAAAAATTTCAAAGGAATTACTTAGATCAAAAGAGTGGGCATGCGTATTACCAAAATGTCTTTTAGAAAGATTTTATGGGTTCACACTACTAAGAGAATATGAGTGTGTTCAGTTTGGTGTATTATTATCATTCTTACTGGATTTTAGTATTTTAAAAAGTTGATAATTGAAAGCTGGCATATCATTTAAATTTGTGTTTCCTTGCTTCAGGAAGCTATATATTTGTCTTGTGCTTATTATTACTGACCGTGTTGCCTTTTGTCCTCAAAACTTTTAATTAAATGTTTATCTCTTACTCATTTTCATCTTGCTGAAAGCAAGAACAAATTATATGTTAGACTCATGGAATTTTGAAGATAAATCAGGACTATATCTTGTTTTATGGATGGTTTTACTCATGCCTAGAAAATATAAGTAACTTTCTCCTAAGCTCACACCACCAATTTATGGCAGTCAGAGCTAAGTAAAGCTGGATTTCTCTTTGTAGAGAGCTAGTTGTGTGTGTGTGTGTGTTTAATCATTATACACCTATTTTCTTAAAGATATTTCTCAAATTTATTAGTGATTGATATTTCATATTGATTTTGGAAGCTAAGGAAAATAAAAGTAATACAACTTTAGCTCCAAAAGCACGTAGACAGGTTCTAAAATTTAGGAAACATTAGTCAACCTGGTGACTTTATTTTGACTTGATTTTAGACTTAAAAGAAAAGTTGCAAAAATAGTATATAATTTTCATATACTTCTCATCCAGCTTCCCCTGACATTAACATCTTACATACTATTAGTTACCAGGGAATTAGCAGTGGTATAAAACTATTAATGAAACCATAGGCCTTGTTCGAATGTCACTAGATTTTCCAAATGTTCTTTTTTTGTCCTAAACTCCCCAACTTGGTTTAATTATCTCTCCTGATCTTTTCCAGTCTGTGAAAGTTTATCTGTGTCCTTGACACTTGTGAAGATCAGTCATTTTGTAGAATGTCTGGTGACTTCTTACAGTTGAGATGAGATTATGCACTTTGGCAAGAGTACCACAAAGATAGGTGATTTTCCACTGTAAACTTCCAAGTTAATGAATACAGTGGTACCTCGGTTCACGAACAACTTTGTTTGTGAACAGTTTGGTTTGCAAACAGAAGTGTTTGGCAAAATTTTGTTTTTGTTTTTGAACTCTGCATCGAGTGACAAACATGGCTGTGGTCATCTTTCCTGTATGAACATGAGCATGGCCATCTTTTCCAGAATCATGGAATGAATTAAGGTTGTGAACCAAGGTACCACTGTACTTTTAAACTATGTAAATCCCATTTCTCCTTACAGTTTTTGCCCACTGATTTTAACATCCATATGTATGGTTGGGGAACTAAATGAAAGCAGGAATCTATAACATGGGTCTGTGGTAAATTACTGCTAAACCACCTAGGTTTGGATCATCTCTAATGACAGGCAGATTAGACTGTTAAAACCTAGGTGTTAGTTTTAGTGCTATAACTAAGAAACATAAGAAAATGGGCACACTTACTGTTTAATCTCATCATGTTGAAGTTGGGTGCTTTTTAGAGTGGCTGGGTCAGGAGACCTTCAGTGCTGCGAAAGTCCCATGTAAACCTGATGCATTGATCACCCTTGCTATTGTATGGTATCTTGAAAGAGAACTTAATGCTTGTAGATGAATAGAATATTTGAATTTATTGTGGTATTGCTGAGTCTGTTGGTGCTGGTAATCAGCACTTTTTGATTAGTTTTCCTCATGTTGGTTCTCCAAGTTTTGACTGATGATCTCCATGGCTGCAGAAGGCAGAGGATCAAATCAGATGCATGTGATAGGCACCACAGGGAAGGGAGCGGTTAAATATATGGGTACAGGGGCCCTCCTCCAAGGATTTAAGAATAGAATTCAAGGGGCCGGGGATTTAGCTCAGTGGTTCTGGTGCCTGCCTTGCAAGCGCAAGATCCTGAGTTCGATCCCAGGTACCAAAAGAAAAAAGAATAGAATTCATGGGACTTGGCCTCGATTTTGTTAGTTGTTTTTTTTTTTTTTAATCTCAAGCATTTTCAGTGTGTACTGAATCAGAGGATGTGGGTTGTATTAACTGTGAATGATGGCAAAGCTATTTATTCTGCTGTTTCTGTTCTTGTATTTTCAACTGGCTTTAACAAAAGGGTCAATATAGCCAGTGTCTTTTTTTTTTTTTTCTGACACAGGGTCGCATTATGTAGTCCAGGCTGGGTTAGAACTCCTGCTCCTCTTGTCTCAGCCTTCCAGGCACTGGGATTACAGGTGTGTGCCACCACTCCCAGCTAAGTGAACATTTTTTATGAGTGGTTACATTCTTTAAAAAACTCAGTTGTAGAGTCAGGCATGGTTGCACACACCTGCAGTCCCCGTACTTGGGAGGCTGAGGCAAGAGAATTGTGAGTGAGAGCCATTGTGGACAATTTAGTGACTTAGTCAGACCCTGTCTCAAAAAAACAAGTGCTGGGGATATAGCTCAGTGAGAAGGCCCTGGCTTCAGTCCCCTGTACTAACAAAACAAAACAAAACAAAAAGAACTTTAAAAAAAAACTTTTAAAACTCAATACAGCAAGAGTTGTCATATTTTGAAATGTGTGAGGATAAATGAGTTAAGATTTGTTGAGCTGTGCCTGGTGGCACATGCCTGTGCTTCCAGCACTCTGGGAGGCTAAGGCAAGAGGATTGCAAATTTGAACCCAGCCTGGTCAACCTAGCAAGAACCTGTCTCAAAAATACATACATACATACGTAGGGCTTTGGATGTGGCTTAGAGTGAAGGCCCTTGGTTCAGTCTCTAGTACTACTCACCCCCCAGAAGTTTGTCAAGAACTATCAATAGAATATCTCTAAAGTTTCCTTAGTTGAGCATTTAATTGTACCCTTCTTGTTGAGCCAAATTCTTTGAGCTCAGTTTTATTCTTAAGGCAGTTTCTTTCACATATAAGCAAAGAACATGACTCATATCCAAATATCCACTAAATAAAAGTCACTTCTTTGCTTGTTATTTCTTATAACTTTTGCCCAGATTGCCTTGGTGGTCTTTTCTTGAGGGAACCAGCTCCTCATTTTACTGCACCAGGCTTCACTATGTCCACAAAAGTACAGAAGGCACTGCTCAGAGGTTCTTCTGCCCTGGAAGCGGCAATGGCTGTTTCTGCCCCAGTACACTAAACAGCTGTATAATTAATTTGAAGAATTTCATTCTTGGCTGGAATCCTAGCTCTTTGGTTGAGTCTCTGAAAGCATCGCCTGATAGATGGAAATAATTATTAGGCTAGAGATAGATGCAACAAGAACCAACATCCTTACCCTAATTGGTGTAAATATAGCATTGCTCTCAACCCTTACAATCTAATAGTAACAATGAAAACATTCCTCAAGAGTTTAGATTGTCTTTTATTCTAACAAATATTTATTTCTGAAAACACAGAAGATTCTCCCCCATTATTTCACCATTTAAAATCTACTTAATATTGAAAAGCTGAATATGTCACTGGTTGTTGAATTCCTGAGCTTGGAGTAGACTGTTACCATTCCAGAATCAGGGACTTTGCTTTCCCTGGGGCTTAGGATGGCTTAAATATAATAGATACAGAATACATATGATTGGTTAATATGTCAACTACACCCCAAGTCAGGATATGCTTCCATTCAGTGTTAATTTAATAATGTCTTTTGGGAGAAACTTTTTCATTTAAAATATGTTAATTGTAACCTTTAATTCTGAAAGGTAAAAAGAAAAAAGTGCAGTTCAGTGGTTCTTCAAATCTTTTGGGTCACAGTGTTGTTTGATAATATGGCTCTGGAACATTGCCTCAGGAACTACTACCTTCATAGAACTGCCATCAGTACCTGCAGCCCAGGGACAGACCTAGGGAAGCTGGCCCTTTAGGTCACAACTGCTCCTCTACCGCCTCCTACTGGTTTGTCCGAAACTGTTGACGCGAAAAGATGGGCATTCTTGAGACATTTATAAATATTTTTGTTCTCTTCTTCAGGGCTTATTGACTATAATTTTCATTGCTTCCGGAAGGCCATCCATGAAGTTTTTGAAGTGAGAATGAAAGTGGTGAAATCTCGAAAGGTTCAGAATCGGCTACAGAAAAAAAAAGGAGCTACCCCTAATGGGACCCCTCGAGTGCTGCTGTAGGTGAGGTTTCAGGAACATCTTTGAAATCGGACCTTTTTGATGAGGCTGCTGCACCATGTTGCACTAAAGAAAGGGGAAGGAGGAGACTAGAACATATGACATGGATTTGTTGTTTAAAAAAAATTCCTGTAACCCTCTTGATCTTCTCTTTTTTAAAATAAAGTAAGCACTTTGAAGCAAAAACTTGTATATTAACAATGAAGTAAAATCCACTGTACTTTCATTACACAAATGTAAACTTTTGTGGTCAGTAGTTAGAAAAATCCTGTGTGAGAACTGCTAGGAAGTATATATATTTTGCACTTTTTCATGTTTTTTTCTCATTGAACTGAACTTTGATAAGATGACATTTCTAAACTCTTTTCTGTACTTGGTGTCAAGGACATGCATACTGTAGCTCATATCCTATGTCAATCAGAAATTAATCAAAATGATGCATTGGTAATGACTTTTTGTAAATTTGGGAATCTTTGCTACCAGTTATTGAGAGAAATCATTTTTCAGTGGAGCTGGAACAGATTTGGTCTGCAAGCTCCAGGAGCAATAAGAACTGTCCCCTATTTATAACAGGTGTAAACAGTTTTATAGAATAATTTCAGCACCAAACTTACCTAAAAATTTCTATTACCACGGCTGTACTTCCTAAATCAACATTTTTTCCTCAGTACACATCTCTATAAATCACTTTATACAGACAGGTGATTTCTTTTTACTGCATTATTCTTTAGAACCTTTCGGACCAGATTTCCAAAATGGTGCCAATCACTGGGGAAAAATAAGAATGTCACTGAGGCCTGTTTCTGGAGGCTCCTCTGTACCTGCTGCTTGGGACTAAAGTAACATCAGAGGCTAAAGATTTATAAAATGTAGGAGAATGGCAACTGCAGCCTAAAATACATAGGTACAATTCTGTATGTTTGGTCCCTGTGCAGGGACCTGTTGTATTACCTTTAAAATCTTATTTAAGACCAGTTTTTTATTGCTCCCTGGCCACAGTTAATACAGCAAATCTCCACCATGGAACTTAATCTTGTTGGCTGTCTTTGTCACCTGAATCACTTTTTCATCTGTGATAATGTGCCTCGTGTACTCAACCTGTTTTCACAGTATACTGAGCTCAGCTTGCCACCCAGCTTGCTCTGCAAGGCTGAGGAGCCATCCTGAAAACCCTAGCAATAGTGAGAAAGGATAGCCAGACCAGGAATTACAGCTTTCCAATTGTTTCCAAGAAGTTCCTTCACTTAAGTTTACCTTAGAATAGCAGAAAATTGAATCCTAACTCTACTCCTATGCCAAACCATTCCAAGTAGATAATTCTCAAAGGTTAGTACTCTGGCATGCTTGTGGGGCATTAGAAAAAAAATTTTTTAAAAAAAAGCAGAGCCTGCTTGAGACAAGAAAGTTAGTCCTAACCAAATGTGCAAAATCCCTAAAACAACTTGTCCTTGAAACTCTCCCACTCATACCAGTGGCTTCTTTCCATCCTTTCTCTACTCCCTATTCCCAAATCCTATTGCTTTAAAGATGATAACTACAATTGAAGATGGTAGTTCACTAGGATTTAAGGTTTGAGCCTACCAAGGGTCTGTGCATTTTGAAAGGAGATTTCTAAAAATCACTAAGGCACCCTAATTCCCTTCTCACATTTTCCACCCAGAAACCTGGATGGGTAAGAAACCTAGGGTTCCAGGGAAGTCTTCTCCCTAACTTCTGGAGCTATATCCTGTTCAACTGTTGCCAACAGGCCTGGTCATATGGGTTATTACAGATCTAATTCTTGAATATTTTTTATGGAATGTTTTTCTTTCTAAGCAAATAAAGAGTCAAGTTTCTAATACAACTTTATCCTCAAGATAGAGACACTTGCCTATTTGGTAAATCACACTTTTCCTAGTATATATATTATTATAAGCAAGTGGAGCTTCCATTTTTAAGCTGGGTATATGATGGGTTTTTGTTAAAATGTGCCTTAAAAAGCCTGTTACTTCAAGAGCAAGTGATTCTTTGGGGGAAAGGCAAAAATAATCCTAGATATAGGACCCAAATTTGTGGTAGTAAGTGTACTCTTTGATGAATCACATGCTAATATAGATTACTGCCTGATAGCTTGTATGACAATGACCTCTTAATTAAAGAAAGATATGGGAATTATATCTAAGCATTCAGTTTTTCAAGTCTGTGCTACTGGAATCTCTGCACCTCTTTGAGTCCTTTTGCATTTTATCATTGCTATTGGAGTTAGCGTTGGGCAATCTGTATGGTCACATTTCATGCTTAAACATGGCTATAAAGAGAAAGACCAAACACATGGCTATAGTGACTGCACTGGACATTTTTGCTCAGTTTTAAAGGTTGAGAATTTGACCTGAAGGTTTCTAGAGCAGGGGAGGCCTTTGCCTTTTGAGTCAATTAGAATTTCTATATAGAGGTGAAACTGTAAATTATCATCTTTGGTTATTTTCAGTGATGTAGATTAGCATGAATGACCAGTATGGAGTGTTTTTGAAGGAATATAAATAAAAAACTGGTGAACATTCACAAATAGTGTTATTTTGTGAACCCAATATATTTTGGACCCTTAAATAAAATAGCTAAAAATCACAGCAATACTGTTATGTGTGGGTTATATGCCAATTCTGTTTGAAACATACTCCAGAAAAACAGCTGATCTGTTGTGATTATTAAAATACAGTATGTATTCAATTTTTATAGACTGGATGTAATTTGTAATCAAGTGTACTGTGTTATACTTTAAGCAGTACATCATTTATATGTGTTGTTAAATTGTTGCTTCCAAGAATGTTAACTGCCAACTTAAAAGCATGCATCATATATTCATGGCTTGGTAAGGCTCTCGTTTTATTTCCAGCATATTCATGATTCAACTTTCTGGAGCTGAATGGTCTGTTTGGTTAAAAGGAAGTATGGCCTTTCACATTTGAGAAGTTGTTTACCATACACTTTTTATTACTGTTTCAGAGACTTTGCTAGGTCCCTTTAGTTAAAGATAATTTTTTTTGAGGCAGTGGTCTTGTTCTGTTGCCCAGGCTGGTCTTGAAACTCCTGGGTTCAAGTGATTTTCCTGCCTCAGCCTCCAGATTAACTAGGACTACAGATCCATGCCACCACACCTGGCTATTTAGTAAAATTTGTCTTGGTAACCACCTCTTATTTTAGAGAAATAAGGATAAATTGTTCTGTTTAAACTGAACTTATCAAACACAAGGCCTCACACATGCTAGGTAAGTACTGTCCAACTGAGCTATACTCTAAGCCCCTATAAATCCTCTTTTCTCTCCAGATTTTTTTTATGGGAGGGACTTGGTGGTTAGGACTGTTATTTCAATAAACTTGAGATATTGATTCCTGTTGCTCTGATCCTAATCCCTTAGTCATCTGGAAATCTACTTTGTCATCCATTACTTTGCTTATTAGTAAAATTCTATTCTGTAGGTGACCTTTACAGATCCCCTGGGAGTTCTCAGAGAAGGCTAGCATTAGGTGTTATATCTTAACTATGAAACCCTGCTTTTGATTGGAAAACCTGATCTTGGAAAGAATTATTTCCAAGATTTTTAATCAGTGATGATGTTAAGTTTAAGAAGAAGAAAACATCTTTAACAGAATTATTCAACAATAATAGATAGGAGCTTTTACATAACAATCCTCATGAATCCAAGAGGTAAGTACTATCACTGTTTTTCAGATGAGGCAGCCAAGACCAGAGAATTAAATTGGTGAAGATCGTGCAGCTAGTAAGATGCAAGGCCAGGAATCTGACCTGGTAGTCCACTCAACTACAGCAATAAAGTAGCTTCACTGAATGTCTTAAATGCTTTCCTTTCATAAATATGAAAAGGGCCACTTGGATTTAGGGCTGCATAAGCTTAAATACTAAGGTATTTTAAAAATAACTATTCTTTTTGCTCTGGCATATTTATAAAACTAATAGAAATAGAAGGCTTCCCTTAGAGAAAAAATTCAACAAAGATGCATTTTTCTTAATCCATTAAGTAACTAATGCCTCAGATGACAGTGTTTAAATACCAAAAAGAAATTTAAATACCTTTTATAGCCATTTGGTTTTCTAATAGACAATAGTGTGTCAAGCTCTGAGAAAGAATAAACTTGATCTTAGAAGCATTCAACCTTTTACTTGAGTTTTCAGTGTGTATGACACTCACTTATAGAAAAATAAACATTGATTTGGATTAAAATTCAAAAAGGTTCATTTCAATCCTAATCCTTTCTTAAGCTCACACCAACATAAAAATTACCACTTGCATACCTTTGCTGGGATCATCTATAAGAAGACCTTCAAATTTTATATCAAAAATTGGCTTCCCTCTTGCTGTTATAATATTGTAGGTTTCCTTCCTAATGTCCCTGCCTGACACTTGGGTTTCATTCTTGACTCTTCCTTCCTCCACACTTCCTATAGTCACCAGTTCTTTCAGCTCAACCTTACAATGTCTGTTGAATTGTTTTTCTTCTCTCCATTTCCGCTGCCACTATCTTGGCTTAGCCTGCCATGTCCTCTTAATTGTCACAATAGCTTTCTCACCAGTGTTTACTTCATCTAACCATCAGTTACATTCTCTCCCCAAGACCCAAAGTGACCTTTCTAAATGATAATTCTTTTAGACTCCCTTGCTTAACATCCTCCAGTTGCTCTCTCTTCCTTTCAGACATCAGTCCAAACTCCTTCAAGATCTATAAGACCCCACCTCCCTGGTTCTTACCAGCCCTGGCTCATTCAGCCTCAGCAAAGCTGGACATGCTGTCCACATGGTGTGAGGTGGAGGGAAGGACAGGAGTTTTAGTCCTTCCTTTGCTAATCATTTTCTGAGGGATATTACAGTTTTCTTTCATCCAACAAATATTTATAGGGTGTCTACTACAGGCCCAGGACTGTGCTGGTAAAATGGCTAACAGGCAGATAGTAGAGATGAAAAAGATTTTAATACCTAAAAAAAAAATAGAAAAGAAACTAATCTTAGTTAGATTTTTATAGGTGTTAGTTTTTAGAACTGTAATTGTATAAAACTTTACTATTCTCCAGTAGTCTATGAGTAGCAACTAGCATCTGAGAAGCTGAGTTGTTTAACCAATAGATCAATAATTACATTAATATTTCATGTAAGACTATACTATAAGAAACAGGCTATAAAAGAAAATGTTGCCTTTCCTTATAGTTAAGAGATGACTTATGTTAAAAGTATGAACTTTTCGCTTTTATTTGAGAAAGGCCCTTGCTGTGTAGCTCAGGCTGGCTTCAAAATCAAGATCCTCCTGTTCAGCCTCCCAAGTCCGGATTAGAGACCTGCACCACTATGTCCAATTGAACAGTATGAAGTTTCAAGGTTTTTTTTGGTGGTGGTGGGGTACCGGGGATCACTGGGGTCCTTGCACTTGCAAGGCAGGCAGTGGAACCAGTGAGCTAAATCCCTGGGCCTCAAGTTTTTTTAATGTCCATACTTTCCTAACTTAATGCACACGGGAAACCACAACCATTTTAATGAAAAGTCTATTTACTGGTTCTACTCTTTTTAATCTGTTTATACCAGGGAACTGAGTGTTGCCTAAAATGGTAGGTGGCTTTTGGTCTTAATATGTTGACCTGAGGAAGAGATGAGAAGGATCTGGTGGCAGAACAGAGGGTAATTCAGAGCCCTTTTAGATCACATAGAAGTTGGGATGTCTGAGTGATATTTTAAAATGCCGGATTTAAAGGGGTCCTTAAAAGGCTTACTTTTGTTTTCTCCTCTGGTGCTGGCAATCGAATCCAGGGCCTCACACATACTAGGAAAGTGCTCTTCCACTGAACTACATCTCTTGCCTTTTAAAGTTTTGAGACAGGGTCTCACTAAATTGCCCAGGCTGGGCTTGAACTCATAATCCTCCTGCCTCAGCCTCTTGAGTAGCTGGGATTACAGGCATGCACCACAGCATCTGATAAAAGGACTACTTTTATCATAAATGATAGTTAAGTTCAGGTAGTGATCCTCTTTCAGTTGCAGCATCATTATTTTTGCAGTTTTCCATAATAGTCACAGTAAAGTAAAAATAGAGATTTTAGTAGTCTCTATCATAGTTTTAAAGATAGTACAAATTGTATCATGGTATTCTCCCAAGGAACAATTCAATTCCATGATTACAAAAGAGGAAAGAGGAGGAAGGGTGAGGGAGGCGGGGGTGGAAGAAGAAGGAAAAAAATAATTTTAAAAAATATTTAAAACTAGCCTAGTAAACACCAGTTAATAGCTTTTCTTGGTAGAATATTGCACTTTTGCTTCAGTAAGTGACTTAGCAGTTGAAGCAGAGATGGAGTCTGGTTCTCATATTCAATATTTAAAAAATAAACTATCTTAAAAGCAGACTATCCATGTGTACTTACACCTTAAGCAATGATAAAGCTGCCCAGGGATAGACTATAGGAGTTGACCCTTTATGAAATCCATTTAAAACTGTTGTGAGCCATAATAAATACAATTTGCATTGCAAATTATCATACTCGTAATTACAAAACAAAGCAAAAAATGACGTGAAATACCCTATCTAATGCCATGCGTTCTGGCATTTTTTTTCTTTTGTTTCCTTTTTAAAAATCTCACAGTCCACTAATAAGTCACAAACTGCGGTGGGTAAATCAATGCTAGAGTGAACCCCACTGGCTAGATCAGGTACACCTGAGGATTTTCTTTCCTGAATAAGATATTTTTGTTTTCCCTTTGTTCATTTAAGGGCTTAACATACAGGAAGTTCTGAGTAGGTTCTTGAATTTTTCTTTTATTTGATCAGGGTTTTCTGCTCTGTTTTTACTTTAGCAGTTTTACTTTTCCTGTCCACCTGTGGATATTTTTTGCATACTGGGTTGTATTGAGGGTGAGAGGTTCAGGGGGCTTCAGTCCTAACAGGATCACTGACTGTGATAGAACTGACTTTACTTGGAGTTTAGTGATTCAAGATCTCATACCTTTGTTAATACGTCAGGTGAGATCATCTCCTCCAGTATTAAGAACTCATGATGGGCCGGGGATTTAGCTCTGTGGTTTTGCTGGCTGCTGCGCAAGCACAAGGACCCGAGTTCAATCCTCAGTACCAAAAATAAAAAAAGAACCCATGAGTTTTCCTGTTTGTGCTGGTTCCATACTCCCAACAACCAAGCTATTACTGAGAGTAGAGGAGGGCTTTAACTGGTGTCCAGTGCCTAAGACCCTTGACCATCACTCTTTAGTAATTAGATCCTGGGACAAGTGGGGTTATTCTAATCTCCCAAAAATGAGAGTCATAAGACTAAGTACAGTCTTCTGAATGGGACCACTCCTGTGACAATCAATGTTCAACTACAGTAGAGCAACTTTAGACTGTCCCATGCTAACTTAACCCTCACCACCACCATGGAGAATTCCATTCCTACAGGCTGCTTCTATTTGCCCCCTGCTTGCATTACTGCCTGTGTCCCCCAGGCTGCCACCTAATTTTGTCTTTTTGCCCTTGCAGAGAGCTAAGTCCTCTAATACTCAGCCTTCCTCCACTAGGTAGTCATTAACCTGTAACTAATTCTGGACTTAGACCAGAATATTTGAATACACGTTATGAGGTAGCCGTGGTCATTAGGCTTTTGCTCACCCTGCCTCCAAAGCAGTGCACTAAAGGGGCTGGCCTGCAGAGACTAGCCCTGTACATCTTTCCAGCTCAGTGGGAGAGGAAGAAACTCATAATGTGCAAGAAATAGTGCCACCAATTTGCATATTGTTTCAATTAATACTCTAGGCCAGTATTTCCCAAAGTTACCTGGCCTTAAGAATCCTCTAGGCTGGGTGTGGTGGAGCACACCTTAATCCTAGCAACTCAGAGGTTAAGCAGGAGGAGAATCACAAGTTCAAGGCCACCATGGGAAGCTTAGCAAGACTCAAAATCTCAAATCAAAAAATCTCAATCAAAAGGACTGAGAAAGTAGCTCAAGGGTAGAGTACTAGCCTAGATTGCCTGAGGCTCTGTGTTCAATCCCGAGTACTACTGGGGGAAAATCATCTAGGGTGTTCAGGCAGATTCCCTACCCTAGTCTTGACTCAGAATCTCTATGGAAGGGTTCTCTGTGTGTCTTAGGTAAGCACCCTAGGCAATTCTTACAATTTGAGAGATTGTTTTCCATATAGGTGTTAAAAGGGATAGGGAGGGGAACTGGTAGAGAGGGTGGAATCACCTAGGGGAGCTTTCTTGAATATCCAGTGTTTTTTTCCAACTTGATTATGGAGCTTTGAAAACTGACATTGTTCAACTTACAATTTAAATGGAAATGTTTATAAATGTAAATTAGATGGTCTTAAAACCCACCTAAATAATTTAACTTAGATATTTAGTCATTCCCAATATCAAGAATTATACAAAATGGTGTTAATTTAGAAAAACTGTTCAAATTGCTTTTTCCTCAAATAATTATACTCAAATTCTTTACATGCATCTTCTATATAGCTCACTCTTTATCATTCATCACTGGGACATTTTGAGTGATCTAACAGTTCCCTCCTAGTTATTTAAAATAGACCATGATTTAAATTTAGGTAGGTTGCTGTCAGTGCAGATTTTATCGAACTTCTAGAACCATTTGTTAAAGGTTTTTTTTTTTTTTTTTGGTACCCAGGATCGAACTCGGGTCCTTGCGGTTGCAAGGCAGGCGGTGGAACCACTAAGCTAAATCCCCAGCCCTTTGTGGTTTTTTTGGGTTTTTTTCCCATTTGTTAAAGGTTAAGAGTTTTTGTTTGCTTGTTTTATTTTTGTAATGCTGGAAGTTGAACCTAGGGCCTTGTACCTGCTAGGTTCAATTGAATGCTACCTACTTAGCTATATCCTCAACTCAGGACAGTTTTTATTTTCCTACCTATTTTTGATCTCCACAAATAAGTTCTTTTTTATTTAATTAATGATTGCCTGAAAACCTACTAATAATGATCTCCACTATATGTTCACCAATCTCATACCCTCAGGAATAATAAACATGTCTTTGCCTTTTTTGCCCCCTGATTTTGTTGGATGACTTTTATAACAGGAAAGTACCATTGTTTCAGACTCTCAAGATATCTTATCTCCCTGAAGAGTTCTTTGTTCAAAAATGACAGAGCAGAAATAAAAATATAAAGCAACTTTTCTGAGAAATTATAGTTGTGGAACAATTTTGCTTCCTATTCTGGCATACATAGTATATATTACTGTTTAAGAATTAAGTGCATGGTTGATTTCATGATAGCAGCCATTCTTTCTGGGGTGAGGTGGAATCTCAGCATTGTTTTCATTTGCATCTCTTCAATGACTAGTGATGTTGAACATTTTTTCATATGTTTATTTGCTATTTCTACTTCTTTGTCTGAGAAATGTCTCTTCATTTCAGATGCTCATTTTTGGATTGGGTCTTTAAATTTGGGAGGTCTGATTTTTTTAAAGTTCTTTATAGATTCTAGATAGCAGACCTTTGTCTGAGGAACAGCAGGTGAAAATTTTTTCCCACATTGTGAGCTGTCAATCAATAACAAATGCTGGTGGGGCTGTGGGGAAAGAGGAACCCTGCTCCACTGCTGGTGGGAGTGTAGACTGGTGCAACCACTGTGGAAATCAGTATGGAGATACCTCAAAGAACTAGGCCTGGAAGTCCCATATGACCCAGCTATTCCCCTGGGTATCTTCCCCAAAGAATTAAAAGAATCATATCACAGTGATATATGTTCACCCATGTTTATAGCAGCACAGTTTGTAATAGCTAAAACTTGGAAACAGCCCAAATGCCCATCAACTGGAGACTGGATAAAGAAAATGTTTTTTTTATAAAATGGAGTACTACTCAGCCATAAAAAATGAGAAATTAGAGATATTTATAGCTAAATGGATGCACATTGAGGCCATACTCTTAAGTGAAATAAACAGGACACACATGTAAATACCAAATAGTTTCTCTAGTGTGAGAAACTGAAAGTGTAAATAAGGACTAAAAAGTATAATAATAGATAATGTGAAATAGGAAGAAAAGGGGCAAAGGGGAAGTGGGAGGGGTAGAGGAAAGGAAAGAAGGGAATGGAATTAATATGAGAAAATGAAAAAATGGAAACAAAGTCTTTGTAAATAGGGAGGGATGGAGAGGTTGAAGGGAGGGCAGGGGAAGGGGGAAAAATAAGAACCAAGGATCAGGGATTTAGCTCAGTGGTTCCACCGCCTGCCTCAAAAGCACAAGGTCCTGAGTTCAATCCCCCATACCAAAAAAAAAAAAAAGAAAAAAGAATTTAATGCACCTAAACCCAACTTCAAGTCCCTGAGGAAGCTAAATTGGCCTCCATATTTTCTCACAGAATGCTATAAGCAGAGAGATTGTAGTATACCCATACCTTTTGGTTTAGTGCTAAAAGAATAAATTGTAGGGAAGTCCAGGGCTGATTTTCAGAAGTTGATGACTTGGTTCCATCCTTCAAGTTTGCCTATAATTGGAAATCGGATTTTGCTTTGACTGTTCTAAAGACATTAATAATACTGCCCATGCTCTGTGGCTGCAGAATTACTGTAAAAAGTTGTAAATGCTGACCTTTGTCAAGTGAAGAATTTTCACATATCTACAAACTTTTTTTTTAAAGTTTGTGGATGCTATAGTGAATAAAATATTAATTTATTTAAAGTACTGAACTCAGTAATTTTTTGTCATTTTGCATTTTCCTAGTGAGCAGAAACTGAAACTGCCCAGAATTGTAAGCTATCCAAGTTAGTATGTGGATGATCAAGTTTCATCAATTGGAAAGTGGCTAAAAGGGTTCAGAGAATAACAAATTGAAGTGATGGGGTATGGGACACAAGAGAAAAGGCATATGCCCAGTGGAAAAGGGGCAGAGCGGAGGAAGACTCGGAGGGAAGGAGTGTAAAGATACTGTAGTGCTCCAGCTGTCTTTTAACACACCCTGAGGTGCCTGTCCCCTCACCCCCAAATGGCAGTTTTTATCTTAGTTGCAGGTGTATCCTTTAGAGCTAAACTTAGAAAATGAAATCACTTTTACCAAACTCATTAGTTCATCAGAACTAAGATGTAAAGAGAAGTACCATAAGTTTTGTTATTAATTTTAAAAGCACCTTTAAGGGGGGAAAAAACCCACATGCAATCCGTGCAAATAGAGAAAAAGCACATTCCTAAGCAAGTTTCTTTTTCCCCATTACTAATATCCAGAGCTGTAATGTCAAAGCTTTTCTTTTTGGCACTGTGGGAATTGAACCCAGGGCCTTATACCCAAATTTGATCTGTAATAGAATCCTTTTCCTGATGTAAATTACAACTTTCTTCTGGGAAGAAATAAATGTACTTGATAAAATATAAACAATTTTCAGGTAAAATTAAATTTTGGGGGAAACTACTAGCTCCTTCTTGCCCAGCTGCCAGTCAAGAATCTAATAACCTTTAAATAAAATTACTCTTCTATTTGCATCTAAATGTTCCTTTCTCTGTAAATGTCTCTGCCTAGAGAAAATTTGGAATGGCTTTGCTTGTATAGCAAGACTATAATTAAGCTTTGACATATGCCGGTAAACTGTCAGAACTGATTTGTTGTTGTTCTTTAGCTATGGAAGGAGAGACCTTAATTCCTACAGAACCAGTCTGGTAGGGAGAAGAGCCCCAAAAGGCCAAATTATGTAATGGTGGCTTCCAAAATGAATGAAAAGAAAAATATTCTTTGTCTCTGCTGAGAGGAAGAAAAGGAAAGTCCCAGAGGAAAACTACCCAACTACCTATTTGGCAAGTCTGACTAACATAGGGCTCACTGCACCAGCCAGGGCCTTTTACAGAGCCATACAGGAGAAGATGTCAAGTTTTAGACAATTTGAAGACTGAACACAAAGAATAAATTAGGGAATGAAGCAGTACTTTGGAATTTGTTTTGGTTTTGTATATGTTGACTAGATTACTATTCAGAAATTATCACCAGGGAATGGTTTAAAAGACACCATCTCACTCTGGGAGGCTAAGTAAGAAGGATCACAAATTCAAAGCCCGGCTGGGCAATTTAGCGACTTGGTGAGACTCTTATCTCAAAATTTAAAATTTAAAAAAAGAGGTGGGAGCTAGGCAAAGAGGGGAAGGCCTGAAATCCCAGCACTAGGGAGGCTGTGATAGGAGGATCCCTGCAAGTTAGAGGCCAGCCTGACTACAGAGGGAGACCCTGTCAAAAAAAACAAAAGTCTGGTGATGTAACTCAGTGCAAAGCCCAGGGTTGAATTCTGGGTGGTGCTGGTGGGGGGTATATCTCATTTCAGCTATCCTTCATTTCTTTCTCAGTTTCACTCTTTAAAAAAGGCTGCTGGCTGGTACATTCACTTATAGATTTAGATTGCTAATTCTGACATTATAACAGATCAAATCTAGGATTATTCTATATATAACAAAAACTTGCCCAACTTGCTTAAACCTCTTCGTCCCACACAGAAACGCTTCCTTCCCCTTCTAACCGCCCCCCCCCTTTTTTTTCCTCTGTCCTGAGGTCCTCACTCCTAAGCCTTCAAGAACCCACAGTCCTCTCCGTCCCACTCTGGGGACCAAGAAGCTGAAGCGTGTCTTTCGAGGTTAACCTTTCATGTTCGTATGCCTTCGCTTGAATTCAATCTACAGTAATTCCTTTAGCTTTTTTAAAAACAGGTTTACTTTCCTGCATTGCCGAAAACGATGTCTTGCACCTGATAACCTTACCCGTTCCCTAATCATTAGTTTCCCTTAACACAGTCCGTCCGGCGCTCCCACCCCAAGCAGCTGCCACAACCTGCCGTTCGCCCCTCGGCCGGACCCGGGTGTGCCGGCTGACCGCGGCCTTTAGGGCGCAGCCCAGGCTGGCGGGCGCCGGGAGGGCCTCGCGAAGCGACCGGCCGCCACGACGCGGCTGCCACGTCAGGACAACTTCACAAACCCGGACAAGGGCGGTGACGCAAGCCGAGCGACTGCAGCGTGGCTGGGTCTGTGGCCAGAGAGACCGTGACTTGCAGCCTTGGCGCCCAGTTGCGCAACGCCCGCCTGCGCCGGCGCCCGCCGGGCCCTCAGGGAGGCGGGGAGCCCTGAGGAGGTGGCGCCCCGCCCGCACCCCGCCTCCCGCCCGCGGTCCTGGAGAAGGCCCAGTCGGCCCGAGCCGCGGCCCGGAGCCCGGAGCCGGTCCAGTGCCCTGCCATGGAGACCCGCTACAACCTGAAGAGCCCGGGTAAGCTGGGCCGCGCGGCGAGCTGGGCAGGGACGGTGGGTGGCGGTGGCGGTGGCGGGGGCGGGCAGCCGTGGACTCCGGGCGGGCGCCACGGTTCCTCGCGTCCGCCACCCCTCGCGGTTGCGTCCCGGTGTTCGCTCCTTACGCGAGACCGCCGCCTGCCAGTGAGGTGCAGGCCGCAGGGCGGCCCGGGCGGGGCGCGGCGCGGCATCGCTGCCAGCCGAGCTACTCCCTTTCCTCGTTTTCGCCCCGAGAGCCGGGTCAAAGACCCTTGCCTAAGAGCAGGGGGAAGGGTAATGTCCGTGCGTGATTCTCAGCAGCCTTTGCTGTGCCTGCATTCTCCATACTGACGCGAGCTCCCTGCATCTCTGCCACCGGATTTTATTAGCTAATGCAGTCCTATTTGAGGATTTGGTCGCTTAAATGTATTCTTTTTGCAGAGTTTGGGCGAGTAGAATTACAGACAAAGAAAGTGTTCTGTAACTAAGCCATTTAACCAAGAAGCTGGAAATCTAATTGAGCCATGTACTTGAGACCTAACCATGATTTTTGTCGCAAGCTAGTATGATATATATCTGAATTCAGTTATAGAGTTTTTTAAAACTTCGTTTAATGCCCCTGTTCTATTCAGAAGCAGCACAGACAATCAAGCCTCCAGTTACTTTTTGGTGCATTAAAAATGCAATAAAAGTACCAGCTCTCTAAGGCTAAGACAGGCTTGAAATGAATCACTAGATAGTACATTTATTTTTTTATTCATTTGTTTTTCTTTCAATTTCCTTTTAACAAATAAGATTCACATGTTTAGTATAGATATTTATTCTGATGTGTACTTTGATAAATTTGTCAAGAGGAAGAAACTCTAGTTTAGCTCTAAATGATACATCATGGGATATTAGTGATTGTTTAATCAGCTCTTACCGCTGCTTATATTTCCTTTCCATAAATGCTTCTGAGTAGGAATCAAGATTAGTATCCTTCTAAGAAGCACTGATGTTGTGACTCTTTGATTTTTAAGAACTATTTCAGAATCTGCAAAAACTCCAGAGAAGTCTCAGAATATTAATTGAACAGAGCTTTGTTAGCCTGAGTGTTGTCAGAACAACAGTAACAACAAAAAACCCCTTAATTGACCAATTGTGTAGAATCAACCAAGTATTTTGGGGATTATAGGTCCCTTTAAAAATCTAGTGAAGGCTGTGGCCTCTGCAAGAACATTTACACAGTGCAATTTCATTGGTTCACAAATTATCCTCCCAGTGTGTCACTTGAAGAACCCCAGGAAGAAGAAAAATTCAGAGAGGCAGAAAAGCTTAAATTATCAAGATTTGATCATAGAATGATTGAATTATTTAGATTGTGGTAGATTTAAGTAGAACTGTGGTAAAATTGTATGGTGAGTGCTCAGTCACATGATTCCTAATAAGCAGAGATACTCGGTGAATTGTCCAGAGAATAATGCAATGTGAATAGGAGTGAAATTTGGGGTGGAGAAGTTACGGGTTCTAAGAGGTTGTAGTGAGAGGAAATTGCTTAGTTTTGATAGGCTAGCCTGGCTGAGATGATAATCTTTAAAAGTTTTCCAGAATTTTGTATATTTCCAAAGTATGTGACCTATCAGCAGGTTGAGCTTTGGTTGACATCCTTGTAGCTGTTTTAAAAATTGCATCATCTTTTTGGTTTCATTTCCTAGAGGTGATATTGCTGTTTTAAGAAGAATTTTTAAAAATTTTTTTGTTGTTGTTGCCAGACATGATGGTGCACACCTCTAATCCCAGCACTCTGGAGGCTGAGGTAGTAGGATTGCTGCAGGTTCAAGGCCAGACTGAACTAAGTAGCAAGACCTTGTCTCAAAAAACAAAACAAAACAAGACGACAACAACAACCAAAAACTCCCCCAATTTTTTTTTTTTTTTTTTTGGTACCGGGGATCAAACTCAGGACCTTTCACTTTTGAGGCAGGCACGCCAGATTTTCCATAGATTGAAAAAAGTCTCTGTAAGTTCTAAAATCCAAACTCATCAGTTTTTTTTTCACCTCTCTCAATCTTGCACCTCACACTGATATTCCTTATACTGGTGATTGACAGCACTTAGGTGCCTAGCTGAGCCTTCTTTTTTTTTCAAGTACTGGAGATTGAACCCAGGGCTTCAAAAATGCTCTACCACTGAGCTACACCTCCAGCCCTGGAGTCATCTTTGATTTCTTGGCCAACTCCTTTGCTCTACCCCTACCCTGAAACACATAAAACACACACATGTGCGTGTGTGTGCACACACACACACGCACATGTAGATACCCATAATCAGTCACTGTTGTCATCAGATCAATTAAAGCAAAACAAAAACTGACTAGATCACTCCCCAAATTGAAAAATTTTAAGTAATTTTCTTATAGCTGTGGATAAAGTTCTAGGTAGACTACTTAGTTTGGCCTACAGGACTGCTCAAGATATGACCTCCCAGCCTCATTGCTCACCACTCTTTTTGCATTTTCACTGTCTATCCATTTTACTGGAACCACTCTGCCTTTCTCCGTTATTATATACCCTGGTTTCTATTGGAACCTCTGCTTGGAATGCCTTCCACTTAATCCACCTGCAATTCCTATTAATTTTTCAAGCTTCTTTAAGGTTCAACCTTGCCCAGCCCCCCTAGGCAGACTAACGTAGTCCCTATTCTTGTACATACGGTCAATATTGCCACATTGTGTTGTAATGAGCTTATTGGGAACAGAAAGATGAATTTGGTCATTCTCTGCCTCCAACACTCACACTCTTGAAATGTTTGTTGAATGGATACATTTGCAGGGTCTTCATGACAGAAACATCAGTCCTTAAACATTTGCTTAAGTGCAGAGGCAGGAAAAGGCAGTTGGGAGCATCACGTTGGGTTCACATCCTCGGTATACCTGCCTCTTGTATTTCTTGTGCTTTGGGAAGCTGCGTTCCAAGAGAAATTGATGTTTGGGAGACAGTAACCTGTAAAAGATCCCTGTACTCCAGCCAGACATTGGCTCCAAACCTCAGTGTAAGCTTGTTGAGCCAGCATGGACATGTGAAGAGTGCTGATGCTTGGCAGCTGAGAACTTCCATCAGAATGACCACATGGGCCTCCTAGAGAAGGAAGAGTAAGAGCAGGCATGCAGGAGCAGCCCTGCAAGCTAGAATCATTTTGCAAAGAGAGGACAAGAGCTAGAGCAAAAACCTTTCCTCTAGCCATGTGGAAGCAAGAGATATGGGGTATCAGGAGAAGCAGACTGTGCTTTAGCTCTAGTTGCAAGGCAGCACTCTGAACCTTGGCTATTTCTCCTCAGGAGCCAAAGGAATCCTGCCTTAGGGCAACTACATGTGCTTAGGCTTGATTTAGAACCAGGAAGAATCACTGAGAAGACTGTATTCTCAACCTCTCCTTTCTCCTCCCCTCTCCAAGTCAGGGCCAGAATTTTAATATAGCTCTAAATCCAGAATCCCTGTTCTTTTTCACTCAAGCAATCATAATATATGTTATTCCTGAAAAAAAGTTTGTGAAAACCCTAATCTCACCTTCAGTTTGGCTGTCTGGCTCCATTGCTCACATGATGTGTGCCTGTGTAGTGTGATGTAAGAACTAATAAAATCAACATGTCCAGTTGTTGAGCCAGTGATTGTTCCTTTATAGGACTGGTACAAATGTTTTGGTGTTTTTTTTTTTCTGTCAGTACTGAGGATTGAACCCAGGCCTTTGCATCCCTAGGTCTTTTATATTTTTCTTTTTCTTTTAAAATTTAATTTTATTGGTACATTTTAGGTATACAATATAATGACATTCATCATTGGAAATTTGCACCTTTATATAATCGCCTTGATTCTTATTTTCCCCCCTTCCCCTGCCCTCCCTTCAACCCCTCCACCCCTCCCTATTTATAAAGACTGTTTCCATTTTTTCATTTTCTCATATTAATTCCCTTCCCTTCTTTCCTTTCCCCTAGCCCTCCCACTTCCCCTTCCCCTTTGCCCCTTTTCTTCCTATTTCGCATTATCTATTATGCCTTTTAGTCCTTATTTATACTGTCAGTTTCTCACACTAGAGAAACTATTTAGTATTTACACGTGTGTCCTATTTATTTCACTTAAGAGCATGGCCTCAATATGCATCCATTTAGCTATAAATATCTCTAATTTCTCATTTTTTATGGCTGAGTAGTACTCCATTTTATAAAAAAACCCCACATTTTCTTTTCCTTTTTTTTTTGGTACCGGGGTTTGAACTCAGGTCCTTACGCTTGCATAGCAGGCGGCGAAACCACTGAGCTAAATCCCCGGCCCAAAAAAACCCACATTTTCTTTATCCAGTCTCCAGTTGATGGGCATTTGGGCTGTTTCCAAGTTTTAGCTATTACAAACTGTGCTGCTATGAACATGGGTGCACATAATTAAATTTTTATTTTTCATTTTGAGCCAAGGTCTCACCAAGTTGCTCAGTTGCCAGGCTGGGCTTGAATTTGTGATCCTCCTGCCTCAGCCTCCCAGGGTGCTGGACTTACAGGTTTGCATCACCATTTCTGGCTAACAAATGTATTCTAACTATTCTGACCTTTTCATACATGTCTCAGAATATCCAGGTACAACTGTTGGGTGTTTATTTTCTTCTCTCGTATTGAACTGAGCTGAGTAGGAAAGAGTTGATAAAATGTGGTAAGGGTACAGGGTGACATAAAATCTGACTTCTTCAGCTCAATCATTTTTGTATCCAGCCAGCTGTTAAGGAATAAAGAAAACAAACAAAATAACAGTCTCTTTGGCATTTTTGAACGCTGACAGCAGCCAAACTACGTAACTTCATCAGAGCTTCCTTAATTTTATATATCTCAAATAATATTAATTTAAAAGAATGATCTGTTTTTGAGACAGAATCTCTTTAAGTTGCCCTGTCCAGGCTTGAACTTGTGATCCTCCTGTCTCAGCCTCTGAAATGCTGGGATTATAGGCATGCAACACACACCCAACTATATGACTTTAAACCAGGGGCTTTCAGTCCCTGCTCCTTGGGCCCCTTAGGAGTGAAATATATGGAAAGAGGCATGGCAGTAAATAGCCTGCAGCTCCTTCCACACTGGCATTTTCAGCCAAAATAGATGTTATTTATTTTTCACATTGGGTTTCTCTTTAAGCTTTTCTTTGAATAAAGCATTTTTTCTTATTATCAAGTAAGTTTGAAACCATTGTCTTTAATCAGATTCTTGGAAAGAGGTATGTTAGAAGACATTAACATTTGGTTCAACTAATATTTGAGTGCTTACTCTGCTAAGCCTGGAGGAGACCGCGGTGAAGTAGATTTGCACACCATCCTTACCATGGTTTAGCAGGAAAGGCAGATGTTAAGCAATAACTGCAAGTGGGATAAACTTTCTAAAAGATGTAGTGTTAATGATGGCATATAGCAAGGGGCTCTACCTTGTCTCTAGGGCAGTGGTTTCCAAACCTGACTGGCATTAGAATAATTTGGATGGCATAACTAGTCTGCACCCCTGCCCAGGATTCCTTAGAGATTTTTACCTGCCCAGATGGGAATCTCTAGTCGCTCTTAGGAGGGTAACAGAAGGTGTCGAGGAGAGCTTTCTGAGGAAGTTATGTAAAGATTATAAAAATGGGAGCCAATCTAGATGATGGGGGCCAGCGCAGCTTTGCAAACACTATCCAGGAAGGCCTGAAGAGAGAAGGTGGAGTGTATTCAGAGAATTAGTTGAACAAAGCCCAGGGAAAGGGTATCTAATATAGCATTCATCGTGCTGCTTTATATTGACAGCCCCTCTCAACTATAAGCTCCTTGGTAACAAAAACTATATTTTGCTCCAGCACCTAGTAGGAACTCAATAAATATTTGATGATCAAGTGAATAAAGTCTCTGACTATAGGAGCTTAGTTCAGAGTAGGAGGTAGAAAAGATTACTAATAATTATGAAATAGGATATTGACTTCACTTTTAAAAAATCTTATGAACTCTTGATTTAAGTGGAGTTTTATGGAAAAATTGTGATACCAAACTGTTCTGATTTTATTTATGTGAGAGTTGCTTTTTTGTTAACCTCTCCCCATAACATCTGAAACTATCCTCTACATGTTTGGTTTTGTTATTCCCTCTACCTGTTTGTATCCACTTGGCTAAATACTTGTTTTCCTTTCAAAGACTGGTACCCAACCCTTTTTCTCTTCTGTCTCTTCTATAGTTATATAGTGCCCACTTGGTCCTCCCAACATTTGGCAAATGCCTCTCTTGTAGCATATATTGAACTAGTGGTTTCAGGAAGTTTCTAGAAGCCTTCTCTCTGGCTTCGCCAATGAACTCTAATATCCTGATATTTTCTTCACACCTACAACTTGAAGTGAGAGGGATTGGGATCCAGAGCACATATCAAAGGATTGAACTTTGAGAACAGTAGGGAAGGAAAGAGGGTGCAGATACAGATAGTATTGCAGGCTTCAAGTGCTCTCCTGGTGATATTTACTTATCATAGAGATAAAAGGCCATGCTTTTAACTGAAAGAGGTGAAAGATAAGAGAGATGAAAATAGGTGTGACTCAGTCTTAGGATGCTAGGTGGAGAGTGTGAGCTGGTGGCTTACCAGAGAAATACAGGAGCATTAGGTGGCACTGTGTTTTGGTGAACTTGTTGATGATGACTGTAATGGCATCAGTGTGCCAGCAACTGTGGACCCCCCCTTCACTAATGATTAGCTGTTTGAGTATAGACACCAAATAGGGAGGTAGTGGTGGGTCAGCTAGAGTTGAATTTGATTAGGGAAGCATGAAAGAGGGACTTTTAAGGGCCAAGTGTGTGGATAAAGAGAGAAGACAATATAGGTGTAGGTGGGGTAAAGTAGGTTATGGGATAAGTGTATTTGAGGTTTTAAGTAATCTGAACAGTCATTCTGAATTCAGGCTGTGGAGAGTCAGTGAACTCCAAGGACAACTGCATTAAGTTAATGCTAGATGGTGGGTGGAAAGACCCCAGGAGTTGAGGACATGGGCAGTTTACTTCTCCCTGAGCATGAGATCCAAGGGGCACATTTTTAATACAGGCATTTAACAAGGAGAGTTAAACTGCCTCTGTTGGAATCCCAGCTGTCATCTCCTAGCTGTGTGACCTTCAGCAAGTTTAATAATCTTTCTATAACTCAATTTCCTTATCTGGAAAGTGGGGATAAAAATAGTAGCAATCTAGTTGCGTTGTTTTGAGAATTAAATGAGTTAACACAGTATTTGTAAACCACATAGATAAATGCTACCATACAGGAAGTACACATAAATACTTATTAAATAAAAATAGTACCTTCCATATATATTTAATTTGATATATAACATTTCACAGTATGCCATTCTTCTGATGCCAAGCTACTATTTCCTTCTCTTCCTCCATTCATTATTGTTACCCCATAGTTAAACTTTTACTATATGTTCAGTTGAGCTACAGTTTTCATTGAACTTTTTCATTAGGCTTGTAAGTTGGCACTAATCACTCAGAAAAATATATTTTAATATTTCTATTTTATGAATTTTATTTTAGCTGTTAAACGTTTAATGAAAGAAGCAGCAGAATTGAAAGATCCAACAGATCATTACCATGCACAGCCTTTAGAGGTTAGTTCTTCATGTGGATTTTTATACTTTACTATTTAAGACAAGTGCTTTAAAACTGCTTTTTCATTGCTTAGAGCCATTACAGATGTGTTTGATATAATCTATTGATCTCTTTTATTCTCTGTATTTCATTAGCTTTCAGAATTAGACATTTTAGATAAAGCAGATTTCTGGTCTGTAAGTGAGTCTCAGATACCAAATTAGTGTTAGGTCTTGAGTGCGAGGCAGGAAAAGTAGAAAGAACCCCAAACTCTTTACAGTTTAGAAGACTCAGTCCCTTGAGAAGTCTTTGCAGCTCCTCTGGGGTTTTTCCACAAACATCTTTGCCTTTCTTCAGTCTTTTCATTTGTAAAAGGATGGTAATATAATTTGCTCGGTCAGGTTTTCATGGTAATAGCAGGGATAAAAATGTAATAATATATGTGCCAGCATTTTACAAATTGAAAATTACTTGGTAACTCCAAGATGATATTAATAGCAAATGTATTAATATCACTGACCGTTTATAAACAAGTTATAAGGAACAGTTTTTAAAGATTTGTTAAAATAACTCAAATTTATAGTAACTATTTGATTATATGGTAATTATCACAAGTTGGTATCCTTTCAAGGATTCACTTCCAATTTAAATCTGTAATCTTAGTTATGAATATATAACAATATTCAGTTTTTAATGTATTTGCTTAAAAATATTTTAGCTCTTACGAGACATAAAACTTAAACTGCTGGGCCAGGGATTTAGCTCAGTGGTTCTACCGCCTGCCTCGCAAGCTCAAGGACCCGAGTTCAATCCCCAGTACCAAAAACAAAACAAAACAAAACAAAAACTTAAACTGCTTTTCTTTATACCTTTTAATTCTTAAGACATTTTGTGCATTAGAAACTAAGTAATAATATAAAATATTTGATTTTTCTCACCTGATATTTCTAATATTCATACTGATTAAAATGATCACACTTTTTAATGTTACTGATTCCTTGTCAATTATTGTTTTCATTTAGGATAACCTTTTTGAATGGCACTTCACAGTAAGAGGGCCCCCAGATTCTGATTTCGATGGAGGCGTTTATCATGGACGAATAGTACTACCACCAGAGTATCCCATGAAACCACCAAGCATTATTCTCCTAACAGTAAGAATTCTTGGCTTTTTGGACAACGTGTGGTTTAACTCGTCCTGATGGGTGTAAAATATAGTCAGATGCTTATTTTCATTAAGAAATAAAGTGGAGCATTATTTTAATTTTGCCTTTGGAGTCCAGGCCATTGAACTGCAATATTTTTCCCCACAAAAGAATTCCTAAGAAGCTGATGTACCGGAGAAATGCTAGAGATACTAATGAATGTGTAAATGTTGCAGCGTAGTTATTAGGACTCAATGAAGTAATGTGTGCAAAGTGCTAGGCATAATATCTGGCACATGGTAGGTATTCAGTAATGTTAGGGTATCTCATAGCCATATCATCTCCTTTAACTTTCTACTAGTCTTGTTCTTTTCCTCAGTTTCCTCTCTTTGCAATGAGAATGATACCTACTTCATTGAATTGATACAGAATTAAGTGTCAGAATCTTGTGTGTAGCTCTTAGAATAGACTTGACACAGAATCCTCAAAAGCTGGCTATTTTGTTATAATTTATACCTCAGAATTTCTGTCTTTACACATTTTCTTTTTTTTTTTTCAAATAAAACTAAAAGTTTTTAATTTTATTGGTACATTTTAGGTATACAATATAATGACATTCATCATTGGAAATTTTACATAATCTCTCTTGGTTCTTATTTTTCCCCCTTCCCCTGCCCTCCCTTCAACCCCTCCATCCCTCCCTATTTACAAAGACTTTCTTTCCATTTTTTCATTTTCTCATATTAATTCCATTCCCTTCTTTCCTTTCCTCTACCCCTTCCCCTTCCCCTTCCCCTTTGCCCCTTTTCTTCCTATTTCATATTATCTATTATACGTTTTAGTCCTTATTTATACTTTCAGTTTCTCAGACTAGAGAAACTATTCAGTATTTACACATGTGTGTCCTATTTATTTCACTTAAGAGTATCGCCTCAGTGTGCATCCATTTAGCTATCAACGTCTCTAATTTCTCGTTTTTTTATGGCTGAGTAGAACTCCATTTTATTAAAAAAAAACCCCACATTTTCTTTATCTAGTCTCCAGTTGATAGGCAGTTGGCCTGCTTCCAAGTTTTAGCTATTACAAATTACATATTTTATTTTCATGTGAAAGAAAACTATTGATCGACTCCCCTCTTATACTTTCCTTTTCCCATTTCAAGTATATTTAAGTCTCCCCTACCCTTGAAAAACAAAACCTTTCTATTACCACTTCAAGCTGTTTCTGTTTTTTGCTTTGATAACTTCTAGGGCCTCCTTACTCTAGTGTAGCTGTTGCATTCCGGCTTCCACACATAGTGCCCTCTACACCAATCTCAGAGAGCAGTCTGAGAAATCCCACTGCCTCTTCTCAGTCTTCATCCTGTTCCATCTAAGTTACCTGACCCACAGAGGTAGCAAATGGTGAAACAAAAGGTGTTCATCAATAAATAGCAAACGAGTGCATCTTTTACCTACATTTGATACAATGGAAACAGCATCTGCTTTAGTGCCAATAGACCTAGATTCTGACTAATACTCTTTCCATTACACTTTGTATAATGGAAAATATACTGACTTTGAAATTCAGTTTTTTCACCTGTCAAAAGGAATTTTGTGTATGGTAAATATAATCATGCTATATAGTTCCTGGCATATAGAAGTTGCTAAAAAGTACTAGGTGTTAGTGAGACTTGTTAATCCTGGGAGTAGGGCTGGAGCTGGGTCTTGGAGGCATCCTGCTGTGTCAGTAGTCACTTCATTTAGTTGTCAGACCCTGGGGGACAACCAAGGGGCCCAGAGGGAGGTGTGTGGGGAAACTGGTGGATATGTTGTGGGGGTGGGGGGTCATTGGCAGCAGTTCCACAGGTACAGAAGTATTTCAGTAGTTAACCAGTGGTATGGTTATATTTACCATCATGAAAACTAGCCCTTCTCTTTTACTATTCAGTATTGTACTCTTTCTGGTTTACTTCTGCTTCTGAAAATGTTTTTCAACTTGTATTCAGCAAATATTTCGTAAACATGTGTCTTGTGCCAAGCCCTGTGGGTGCAGCAGAGGATAAGTTAAAGTCTGCGGCCGACTGGAACATATATTCTAACTTCATTCTTCTTCTGGTTTATCCTTTCCCTAAACACAGCTTTTACAAAGCAAGTTAGATCGATGTTTACTTTTTTATTTCAGCAAGGACAGCATTACTGGCCATCATTGGATTTATGCCAACAAAAGGAGAGGGAGCCATAGGTTCTCTAGATTACACCTCTGAGGAAAGAAGAGCACTTTGCCTAAGTATAGGTATCCTTTCTGTTCAGCCTGTTTCTTTCTTATTTCTAGGACATGGTATCAGTGGTCATCTCTGTGAAGAGAGGTGCCCACCCCAAATATATATGTATATATTCATTCTTTTTTGTATATCATCATGCTTCCATTTCACCTGCCTGCTAGACAACATTAACAGCTCTCCTACCAAGCCATCAGATCCATGTCCAAACCTGAAATCATTATCTCTGATCTACCTCTTCTGTGTTCCTGACTTACTAAATGGCATCATCCTTTTGAAAATCACTTTTTATCTCAAAGCCTTCCTCTGTATTCCCCTCTTTACCAATGTCTAATCAGCTGACACTAAGTTCTTAGATTCTTAGCCTCTTGTCTTAGCCTGCTTAAGATCCTTAATTGAGAATAGCTCTGTACTGGGCATAGAGGTCATCAGTATATCTTTATATATTAATTATTTAGATTCCAGTTGTGTAAATCAGTTTCAAAAACATGCCAATACAACTTTTAAAAGCAGCTTATTTACTATTCATTCAGCATCCATCAAATATTTTGGAGTGTTTGTAACAGGCCAAAAATGTGTTCCCTTAGAGTTATATTCTTTTTAAAATTAACTTTACAATTATTGTTTATATATAAAATATATTTCCTCTGGAAGCTATGAAACAGTAAACACTTGTATAATTTTTATTGTTTATTTCTAAGGCTAATGGAAGATTTGAAGTGGGCAAGAAAATCTGTTTGAGCATCTCAGGACATCATCCTGAAACTTGGCAGCCTTCATGGAGTAGTGAGTATTAATTAATAATGAATTTGAACCTTATAAAGCTTTATTCAGTTCATAATAATGAATAAAAATACACTCAAGATTGAAGTTGTTTTGAGTAAATAATTTGATATTTTTGAATAAATAATAAAAATGCTTTTTCATGTCTAGATTTTTGCTAGCATGTTAATATAACTTCTGTATTTGTACTTCTTCTGTGAAAACCTTCATGTCTTTTTTCTCTTTCCAGAATAAACCCAGTTCCCTTTACAAAGCAACTTAGATTGATGTTTTCTTTTTTATTTCAGTAAGGACAGCATTACTGGCCATCATTGGATTTATGCCAACAAAAGGAGAGGGAGCCATAGGTTCTCTAGATTACACACCTGAGGAAAGAAGAGCACTTGCCAAAAAGTAAGTTTTGCATTTCATTCTTTGTTAAGGTCTGAGTGCTTTTGTGGGTAATGGCTGTTAGGAAGCAGGCTCTGTCTCTTACTTTGTGAGTGACCTTGGCTCACAATCTTTTTTTTGGTTCTGGGGATCGAACTCGGGTCCTTCCGCTTGTGAGGCAGGTGGCAGAATCACTGAGCTAAACCCCCGGCCCCTCACAGTCTTATCTTGCTGTTGCTATTGTACAAATCCAACTCTACTGATTTCCTTGGGGTTACCAGAATCTACAAAATTTTATGATTTTTTTTGTGGCTCTGGAGGAGTAGGGTTGATCCTTGGGCCTTACCAGTGCTAGGCAAGTGTTCTTCTACCGAGCTACACTCCCAGCCCTGCTATGTCATTTTGTAAAAGCAGTCGATAGTATTCCCATAAGATGCATTTTACTATAGTGGGAGACATATTCTCCTGAAGACCATTTCTGGTTGTCTCCGCTCAGAAAGCATTATGGAAGAAAAAGAATCAAAGTGATTACTTTTATTTAGCTTTTCATGAGATTAAAAACTGCTTGAGGGTAAAGAGGGAATCCACTTGTACATACAGTATCTCCCTCATAGCACTGACATAATAAATGATTAGAATAAAGATTTTATCAAGTTGTGATTGCCCAGTGTTATTACCTAACACTGTCTTTTTCCAGGTGCATGTTTTGTCTACATAACTAAGGTTAGTCATTCAATTTAAAGTCATCTTTCCTATGGCTAGTGCTGAGATCTAATTCTTGATTTGAAAATTTCCTTGTACTGGAATCTGCTGCCTGCCTTACTATGTTGAGTTAAAGCACATTTTACCCTAGCACAGCCCACACTGGCCCTCCATAGATACTTATTAAATAGTTAGGGGGTGGGGGAATAGCTCAGTGGTAGAGTACTTGCCAACACTGGATTACCAATACCCGGAAATAAAAATAAAGTAATATTTTAGGGAAGATTTGGTAGACATAGACACTCTGTTCTTACTAGCAACTATTATTTTTAAACCTTTTTCCCAAATTCTGGAGATACTTGAAGCTACTGTTCACAGTTTACAATATGTACTTCGCATACACAGTATTTTTATTTGATCCTATGTTGACTTTCTCTCTAGATAATTTTATCCAATTGATTTCATCTACAATCTTTTATGTTTTTGGTACCGGGGATTGAACTTGGGTCCTTGCGCTTGTGCAGCAGGTGGCGAAACCACTGAGCTAAATCCCCGGCCCCAAGTACAACCTTTTAAAAAAAATGAATTTGGTTTCTTACTGTCATACAGCTTTTCAGTATATATATTCTAGGTTCTCGGTCTATGATAGAAGCCCTTTTAAAAATGACTTTGCAGGCCGGGGATTTAGCTCAGTGGTGCCACCGCCTGCCTTGCAAGCGCAAGGTCCTGAGTT